CCCCCCCCCCCCCCCCGCACCCCCCGAAGGGAAGGGACACAAGTGCTCTCACCAGAAAAAAAGTTACTAGTTTCATGTCGATCAGTTTAATCCATAACAATTATTTTCAAGGTTTGTACCTGTTTATTTCCTGATTCAAGGAAATGTCACCTTGGGTCTAATGTTTGCCGTTTGCCCTAAACGCGACTCTTAATCTCTCGATTTTCCTCTCAATGACTACTAAAATCCATAAATTTCGGAATCGTTGAGTTACGTTGCGACGGTAAAGTCGAAACATCAGATGCAAGTATTACAATTACTCAAGTTACTGAGAAAATTGAGAAAGTTGTCCTTACGGGTAAACCTGGCATGAATGTCTTTATTTTTTAGTAGTAAAGATAAAAATTAAATTTCCAATAAAGAGAAAGCTTAGCAACATGTTTCAAAATGGTATTAGCCGTAGACGTGATTCTAAATCTCGAGACGCCTGCGTTGGTATCGAAGTTCTCCTAGGAACCAGTGAGGACAGGCCTGGTATCAATTCTTTTCGGCCCGCTCCAACGTTCCTGCTTTACTTCCTAAAATCCCGAGCTAATCCTTTTTTCAATTACCGTTAGCGCAATCAAAGTAATCACAGTCATTAAGGATCACTCGATCTGTCTTTAGTACCAAGAATCTTAAAAAAAATAATAACCGAAATTCTTTCCTTTTTCCTTCGTGATTTACAGTCTGAAGATGAAACCAGAAAATTAAAAACATTGATGGTACCTGCCCCTCCAAACAAATCAACAAGAAATCGTAAACGTAAAGAATGATCTGTTTTCTTTTTCAAAACCGTTTTCAAGCATTCTTCTTTTATCACAGAAATTCGACTGCGGTGGACGAGAATTCGACGGAAAGGTTTCGTGTGAGAAATTCATCTTTAATTCTTGTTGATTCGAATTCCTATCAGAGTCTGCAATAAGGATCTCCTAATTTCGCTTCTGGAAAATGATTGCGGTTCGACGAATGAAGATCGTCATAAATACTGTGCTTATGCTCACAGCATCATTTGCCACTTCTACATTTCAACAGTTGTCATTCCATTATTGCGTGGGATTTTAAAGCTAGCAGATACTTCCCAAAAGCGAAAAGTAATTTTATTTTACACCACAGTATTTGGAGCAAAACCATCGACAATATGGTCGACAACCTCTCTAGACACCTGCGAAGTTCCCTGTCGTATTTCTGACGACAAAAGCTCATTACTTCAGAGTGACGCTGTGATTTTTCATGGAAGAGATATGCCAGAAACAATGCCTACGCGGCGAACTACCAATCAGCGATGGGTTTATTTCATACAAGAAAATCCACATTACACCTCACCAGAACCCCTAAAGTATAACGGAATGTTTAATTGGACAATGACGTACAAGCGCTCATCAGATGTGTGGGCTCCTTACGGCACCTACAGAACAGTTAAAAATAACGACTTGCGAAGGAGTTATTTTTCTTCAGGGGCAGGTGATTTTCTTTTCGTCTTCTTGTTGGTAGCAGGTGTTGCCAAAACATTAGAGAGCTTAAGCAAAAGAGGTTTTGTTTACGATGCGACGCACATCGATCGTAAGTAGACTTTTTTCATTATTGGGCAGTGGTTTTGCCCAAATTTTTGGATAAATCGTCTGAATGAGAGTAAAGAAATTTCGCGATACAAATTTGAAGCGTCATGGCATATAATTGAAAAAGCCTCATTTCCGGTGATTTGCGTCACTCTAAAAACGCTTTTGCTTAAGCCGTCCCCATCGATATACCTTTCGTTAGTGGAAATAATTTTCTCCGTTTATTTTCGCTTTTGCCAAAAAACGAGAAGCAAGTCGTTAATTCAATACGCTTTTTTCAAAAATACCGTACTACTCTTTGTCTTCCCTTCAACGTTTGCATAGGTATTGTTTCAATTTCTGTTGGGATTATTGCAAAATTTTGGAAGGAATACAAAGAGTATTATGGTATTTTTGAAAAAGGCCGATGCCTTTGTCCTTTTCTTCCAAATCGCAAAATTTAAGTCACGCAAAATATGCCTCTTTCATTTTCGCAAGATTATAAATTTATTTATGAGTGACCACGAAAAGCGGGAACAATAAGGATAGGCAGTCTGGGAGAGAAGTCAGCTCAAAGAAACGGAAGCTGAAGATAATATATTATTTTTTATTTCAAAACAATTCGAAATCTATTTTTCTTATTACAGTGAAATCTCGATTAACGAACCTCGATATAAGAAGTCCTCGGTATAACGAATGATTTTCTTTACTCCAGTGATAGAACCTTGATAAGTCAATACATCGTTATAGGAAACAAATGTTGCCAGTCCCTTGGCCCTTCGTTATAACGAGGTTCCCTGTAATAAATTCATTTTACAGCCTCTGGCACTACCGTTAGGCTGCCTGTGAAATTTTTAACGGTATTTTTAAATATTTAAATATTTAAATTTTGATTTAGTTTTATTCGTTTTTTTAACAGACAGAGACTTTGTAGTTAAAAAGCACCGCATACAACGAATACTTTTACTGGAAGAAACAATACGAGGTTCGGTCGACAACACCTTTGTGCAGATTGTGTAAAATGTTACACAATCAGTCTTTACCAAACAAGGTGTACTGGGATTTGGGCAGCTTCTGGGGCGTGGAAGAGAATTGTATGCGATTTTCGAATAAGATTAAAGATCAGATTTGATCCATCGTCACTCAAACAGATAGCTTTTCCATTCTTAGACTGTGATTTTGCCCAAATGTTCGGACAAATCGTCTCAATAAAGGTGACGTTACACGAGACGATTTGCAACGACGATGTTTAGCGCAACACAGCCTTGCAACATTGTTGCGACATTGTTTCGAATGATTACAAAATTGTTCCAACATTGCAACGCTGTGTTGTGCTAAAAATCCTCGTTGCGAATCGTCCCGTGTAACATCACCTTAAGCGTAAAGAAACTTAGCAAGGCACTTAGCAATACAAATTCGTAAGCGTCAGTGCACATTAGAAGGGAAAAGGCCTCACTTTCGTTTGTCGTGCGTCGCTCACTGAAAACGCCTTTACTTGATCAGCTTCCTATGGTCGCTGGTTCTCGCCCTCTGGCCCTCTCGCCCTCCCACCGAGGGGTTTTTCCCAGAAACTTCGCCTCCCTCCTTTGCTCAAAAACTAACATTTCTAATTTCCAATCGACTATTTTCGAATTCCCCGTAATACACTACGTTTGCCCTCAAAGTTTTCAATGCACTTGGGAACATGAAGTCCTTCCAGGAAAAAAGGTTCGGAGTCATCAGCTCGGCATGAACAGATTCCGAGTCTCGAGAATCACAAAGTTTCCATTTTCCTCTGACACTGTCGCATACGCTAGCAAAAACTTCCACGAGAAACATCGCATCCAATTTTCCAATTCCATCAGGCTGTACAATTTCATGTAAAACAGATAGTGCACCTATCGCGCTTTCTTTGTTGGAGAGATTCAGGATTTCTGATCCGCCGGCCCATAACTTAACAGAACAAAACGATAATCTATTTATAATTCCACAAGGATTCAGAATTTCTGATCCCCCATCACGGCAAGGGACAAAAAAAGCTATCTGCTCAAATTTTTTTAAAAGTATTCAGAATTTCTGATCTCTCCCTGATCAGGTAACAGGATAGAAACAGCTGTCTACTTATAATTCCACAAGGCTTCGGAATTTTTGATCCCCTTTCACGCCAAGGGACAAAAACGGCTACCTGTTCATGGTTGTAAAAGTATTTAGAAATTTTTATTTCCCTCGCAACTTTAAAAAGAAACAACGTTTAATGTTTTATATTTGGAAAGGAATTTACAATCTTTTTCCTCCATCACTTAACAGATAAAAAAAGTGATCTACTTTGGCTTCCAAAAAAAAAAAAAAAAATTGAATTGTAAAAGACCCAACTACTTGGAGTCGTCATTGACCTGCGACTGTTCTTTAATGTCCTCTAGAAGATGCCACTGGGCATTTTCCTCTGTCTACTGGTCAATGCAAATGGATGACCTTTTCATACTTAATCCAGCCAGCAATCCATTTCCTGAATAATATATAGATTTAGCCAGTGCTAAAAGCGAAGCTCTCGATAATATTTATAGTTTGTTCAAACAAAATATAAAATCATGTAATGGCAAGCGGGGAAGGCATGCAACGCTGAAAAACCGGTAAAAAACAACAATAGGCCTAATCAGCAAACACAACTTTGCACGTGCAGAACACTTTTTTTGTACATTTCTTTGCCGTTGTTTTGCACGACTACAACGTGAAACTTCCAGAAACTTTTTAGTTACACGTTTTATGGAGGAAATGTCGTGTTGCCGTTCACTTTTTTTCACTGCCGCTCATTTTCACCTTGCATTGGTGGCCGCTAGCAGTTCTCATTTTGTCCCCGCCGCTACACAAAATTTTCGTGTTGTTCTTCCAAAGAAAAAAATGTCTCCTTCGGTTTTTCATCTCTCGCTCTAAATCCCTGTCGCCCTTTTTCTCGTTGAGCTTCGTTGGCCTGCCGCCCACTTTCTCTTTTTCTCTGTCTTTCTCTTGCTCTATATTCCAAATTTGTGCACATGACAATTTATCTAAGTTTAATACTTTAGACAACACGGATACACAGACAATTTCCGCTTTCCGTTTTCGTCTTTATCGACTCTTTTGTTGTCTCTGCTTTACAAGACGCCGGTAGCTATGCGATTTCCCGCCAAAATAACCTCGAGTTGCATTTGGGTTGCCATACCTGTTGATTGAGTTATTATACATTGCTATGCCTGTGGTGCGGACGGACGGTGTCTCGGGCGGGCGGTCGGTGTACGGTCACGTGATTACCAAATTTTCTCGGATGGGTAGATTGCTTCATTTTTTTACCCATGGTGCTACGCTGGCGCGCTTCGCGCGCGAGAGCTCCGCTATGAGAAACACTGATTTTAATATCTTTTGTAAGGGTAGATGCCAACTAATGCAAGAACTCATGATTTTTGTTGGTTCCATACTGCATGCTTGCAACCAATACTTTGCCTCTCTACAAAATAATATAATTTCAAAGAAATTCTTGAAACCATTTGCCTGTGCTTGATGCCAAATCAAAGAATGAGCAGTCAATAAACAGTTTCCAGTGCTGTATAGTGGTTGCCACACAATAAAACAAAAACCATCTTTACCATTTCCACAGCCAATGTCAAGCATGAGATTCAGGGGCGGATCCAGGAATTTTTTGATTGGTTGGGGGGAGGGAGGGAAGGGGAAGGGGGAACTATTGAATGAGTGATGCTCCATTCATCAAGGCAGACATTGGTCCACAACAGGTCACTTTCAGAGATACGTCTCCACCTTCTGCATACGAGCCTTAGCTTGTTTGTTATCCCTTCAATACTTGAATACGACACATAGAAGCCCGTCTGGTAACGTTGTGATGAGAAAAATTAAAATGGTCAAATTTTGGCGCTAATAGATTTTAGCTATAGGTGATACGCTGTCTGCATGTCGAGTGAAAGAAGTGCTTTGAAAAGATTACGATCGGAAATAGATTGGCTTCGATAACAAAACTGAACTGAGATCGTCGTGTTCTTTGACCAAAGCAAAACTAACAGAAATCATGAGAAACTAAAAGTGGATTTCCACTGTCGCGTAATTTTACTTGTGTCAATGGGCCGGTGTGAATTTAACTGGCTTTTCGTGTGTGAAGCTGTCCGATCATTTTTTCTATTCTATTTTTTTTATTTTGTTCGTTTTGGACGCGGATTTTACGTGTATTGAGACCGATGAATTAAGAAATGCACTACAAAATCTGAACTGAAAAAGTATAACATTTTCGATAAAACGCACAAGAATGATAAAGTAATAATAAGGAAAAGTGATACTGATAGTCACCTATGAAGCAACAAAAAGTACTGCCTAACTAATACCGTCATTTGTTGCTAAATGCTCTAAAATAAGTTTAAATTTATTTTAATACTGAGTTCTTCTCAGACGCCGGGTTAGTAAATAATTGGTTGCATCGGTTTTGTTTTCCTCAGGCTTGTTTAGATATTTAATCAGAGAGCTCAACTGAAACGACAAATGTTTACTTAAAAGTATAAAACAAGTTACCGTTTTCACATTCCATGGCTTCAGCTTCATTTCTTTACCGTTAACTGTTTAATTTTCAATTTCACTGGATTTGACTGGTTGATCAAGTTCATTTCACTGTTGGTGCCATTATATCTTATTTTCAATCCTCTTTATCTTCCAGGATACATATTTTCAAAGGAAAGTCGAAGCTATCGGTATTATTAGCTTATTGTTATCTGCAATAAATGTTAGGTTTGAAAATCAACAATCAATCTCAAAGCAGAGCAGTAATAGTTGCTGGTAAGCTTGGTTATTACAATTCTCGAAAACTATTATTACAATTTACGACCGAACACGTGTACTTACATCGTACAATATCATAGACGTAGTTGTTGTGGTTCAATTTTATCCTTGGTTTAAATTTCATTTTTCTTAGTTTCGCGGGTTGTAGTTGTGTGTGATGATGAAATTGGAACTAAGGAAAACAAACATTTAACCAAGGCTAAAGTCAGCCACAACATTTTGGCGTCACTTGATCTAAAGTGGACATTTTTAATATGCTTTCAGTGTCCGGCTGTGAAAGCGCTCCTTGTATGAACGGCGGACAATATCTACCCAAATAAAAAACAAATACTTACCTCTTCGACTGTCAACAAGGATTTTGTGGAACTCACTGAGAGAAGCTAGATGTATACTGAATCATGTAGATTACAAATTCCGGTATAAAAGTAGATCATATAAGTTACCTTGTAAATGGCTTGTAAAAATAAACTAGATATTTTTGCACTGTAACTTCTCCAGTCTGTTAATATTATTATTATTAACCATTATCGTTTTCCACCCCGGCCCGTACTAAAAGCCTTAACTGCTTACAGACTATGTAAAGAATTCTTGTTAAGATTTAATATATTCGGAGAGAAATTTCGGAATCTAACTCTAGGTGAAAGTGTTAAAGATCAGCCAGCTTCTGGATCAGCATAGTCTTGATCAGATTTCGAAAAACAAAGATCAATTCTATTTTATTTTCGAACGTTGACGTCAGGCATTACATTTTCCTTCACGAACTAGCTTTCACCATTCCAGCGGAAATATCCATATCCCTAGGTACAGGTTTTCTTTCTATCCCTTATGAATAATAGATTTGAAGCCTAATTACCATAATCGGCAGAATGTTGATCAGCTTTTAAAAAGAAATTGTCCAATTATTTCATTTTCGAACCTTGACGTCATGCTAGGCTATATTTATCCCTACTACAAGACTTACAAGCATTGGCTAAACCCACATAACTGTGCTTCCACGACTGGACTAGCTCTCACCACTCTGTTAGACAAATGCGAATGGCTCTGGTTTATTTTCCTTATGATTTTTTAAAGCCAAATGTTGATGTGCATTTAAAAAGCAATAATGAATTGCTTCATTTTCGAATGTTGACGCCATACCATATATTTCCTTTCTTGAAGCAAAGTTAAGCCACACCATATAACAGAGCCTCCGTAAACCAGCTTTCAACGCTCGGTGGACAGATCAGAATTCCTGTGAGTACAGATTTGTTTTTTATTCTTTAGAAATTATAGATTTTATAGCATAACTCTCTTTGTACCTATGCGATACTCAGTGACCGTCACTAACCGTTCATATTCTCAGAAATAGAAGAAGAAATAAGGATTCAAGACGCTAAAAGCATTTTTGATGTTCTTTTTTCTAGTTGTACTGTATATTCATCTGCTTTTGGATAAATAATGGAGAAATAGATATAACCATCGTCCTTTCAAGTTGATGACAATAAAAATCACGAAAAATCATATCGGCGATTATTCTAGTTCGTTCGTTCGCGCGTTCTTTTGGGAAAAAAAATCAGAATGAAAGGAAATAACAGAACACTTCCTAACAGATTCGCTAACTCTACAACAATAAAGTCGCGTAACCCTGCTTTCTCCTTAATGTATTAAAACTTGTTTTACGCCATCTTAAGTGTCATTTTAAGTTTAACAGTTGTGCATTCTAGGAGAAGCGGTGACTGCGATTCTTATCTGTTCGGTCACCGTAGGGCAAATTTGAATTTAAATTTATTGGGTTCTCTCACTTCCAATACGAAAACCGTAACAGCGCGGTTGATTGCTATTTAAAGTTTTACGAAAGCGAAGAAGTTTTCAACACCTCTTTCCGTCACTTTTCTCGAAACTGAAATTTTACTAGTCCTTTGTAAGAAGTACTTGCCAAATCTGGAGTCGAGTAATCTGTTAAAAAGGAGACTCACCTACAGAAAATCGCATATAGGGAAGTTAGTAGAAACACTCTCAAAAGTATAGATGGAAACAATCATCTGGAAATTTTTACTCTTCTTCTAGCTAAAGAAATGTCGAGGCAATATTCGCTTCTTCGAAAAGATGTTTTACAGACATTCAGTGGGTTCCTATGAAAGAATCATGCCGCGGAATGCCTTTTAACTCTGATGAATTTTTAGTGTCACAGAAACTGAAATAAAGATTAAAAAACGCCAAACAAGCACGACATTCGTCATTAACTCTTTTATATTAGGGGTTTTCACACGACCTCACCAAAATTCAAACTAAGAAACTATCGATTCTTCTGAGTTTCTACTTTCATGAGGTATTACAGTACCTAAACAACTGTATTTACACAAATTTTGGGTTCCAAATGGTTCTTCTTTTTGCGATAGAAGACGCTTGAATTTCCAGGCATTTGCGTGACGCGGCATTTGCCTGGCGGGCGGGAAAGCTCTTATGTGGGTTAAAAACTTTACTGATTTTTTGAGATTTTGCTATCTAAACATTGCTTGTCTTAGAATGAATATTACTTTAATGTTTATAAGTTCCTCAAGCTATGAATTCACGTATAAGTAGGAAAACTGAAAGACAGATGTTTCTGTTGGTTTCTGGCGGCCATATTTGTGTCCCTCAAAGGGACAACAACATG